GTGGGTCTTGAACCCGCGGGCTCAGGCAATCCACTCACCTCAGCCTCCCAAAGGCGCGGGATTACAGGCTGAGCCACCGAGCCCGGCCCGCATGTATTCTTGTTCACCAGCCTGGAAGTCTTGGAACCCCCACAGATAAGGATCTTTATGGAGGATTCATCATGTAGGCATAATTAATTATTACCTCAACCTCTAGCCCTTCTCTTCTCTGGAGGATGGGGGACGGGGCTAAAAGTGTCCAAGCTTCTAATCATGACTTAGTCTTTCTGGTGCCCAGCCCCCAGGCTGAAGCTAGGCAGGCACTCACCAAGAGATATCTCATTAGAGCAAAAGATGTTCTGATCACCCAGGAAATTCAAAGAGATTTAGATTAGATTTAGATTGAGCTCTGTGTCAGGGACTTGGGGCAGAGACCAAATATGCCTTTTTTTATAATATCACAGAGAACTAGCTCTCCAAAGTCAAATCCACAAATTAGATGCTTGGGCTCTGATGGATTTCTAGTATCTAGTTTCAGTATGTGCAGGAACACAATCTGTGGTTCCACACTAATACCTGGGGCCTTACCTTTATTTTTATTTTTTTATAGGGAAAGATTTTGCTATGTTGCCTATGCTAGTCTTGATCTCCTGGCCTTCAGCAATCCTCTCACCTCCCAAAGTGTTGAGATTACAGGTGTGAGTCACTGCACCCATCCTAGCCTTGTCTTAAACTTCATTATCTTCCTTGACTTCTCCTTTCTTGAAGATGATTTCATTTTGGGTCTCATGTCCTTTTCTGCCACTGGGCTATCTTCCGACACTCCTGGTCTAACCTGACTGGATTCCCTAATACAGAAACTTAAAGATCTGGGTTGGAAATTCTGGTATCTTCCCACCTGGGGCCTTAAGCATATTGATAAACTTCCTGGTTCAAGTCTCTACTTAAATGTCAGAGTCATCTCAACCTTTTTTTTTTTTGTTTTTTTTTTGAGTTGGAGTCTCACTCTGTCGCCCAGACTAGAGTGCAGTGGCATGCTCCTGGCCACCACAGCCTCGCCCTGCTGGGCTCCGG